TTCGAGGCATTTCAGATCAGCACTTAAATTAATTTAAAAATCAACTTCACACGATAATTTCAATAGCAACCACGTGCGTACAATTGACAAACTCACATAGGTTATGTTTACTACTTAAGAACAGCTGATGAGAGGGGTGTTATGTAAACAAACATGTGTACCAACTGTTGGTGATGAAATATTTCATTTGTTGAAAACTCAATATACATATATATAATATAATGATACTATATCTTGAAAACAAGAGCTAATGTATAATTTTTATGGTCACTTTCGGTTTTAACACGTGGAAATACATTAAAATCATCTAATTTCAACCCCGAAACAAAAACTTTGTTGTGTTGTGATTGGTCAACCCACTGGGAAAAACGTAACAATATCTTAGGAATTACTGCAAAATTGAAACTATATCACGATAGAATGAATACAGGCGGCCTCTCACACACACGCAAGACGCCTGATGAAAACAGGTTACAACTGCGTTGGTTTTGTTTTACATAGTGAATCACTTTGACGGTTAAGGTCGCACTTCTGTTTTGTGTTGTAGGCTCTTACCTATTTCAAAATTAAAATTTGTAGTTTTGAACATACTTTTCCTTGAATACATTTTATCAAATGTCATTATTACAAGTTACAAGCTGATACGACAGTATGACAGCAAAAAAATAAAGGCATATATGCTCTGCCATCCGTGCAAATCCGAGGCGTGTCGCTAGAAATATGTTGACAAATATACAAATTTATACATGACATACGCGTTCCGAGACTCGATAATTAGCATAAAAATAAAAAAAAAGCGGGCCTTCTTGAAATGAATTGATTCGGTAGTTAATTGCGGTGTAAAAAATATTATTCCAAGGCCGAGAAATATTTGAAATTTACATATTACCAGAATGATATCAAATTATCGCTATGTCCCCGCATCTAGAATCTGTAATATCTTCGAAAATAATAATTCACATTACATGCTGCAAAGGGCCATATTGATCACATTATGGGCAGATGAGATAAAGGATATATTAAAGACAATTTTATAAACGCACCTTTGTTCCCCACGCGGCTGGCGTCTTATTTAGAATATTTAAAAATCGTTTTTTACATGTGGAACATAGAGGGAACCTACATAAAAAATTTCAGCCTCTGAAAATATAGCGGTATGGAGAAACAGTGATGGAAAGGTAACATTATGGTATGAACGCTCCTTTTTTCCCTGCGGCTGTCGTCCCAGTTGGAATATTTAAAAATCCTTTCTTATTGCACATTTAAATTTCTCTGCGGGTGGCGCCCCAGTTGGAATATTCAAAAATCCTTTCTTGATGCACATCTACAATATGAAAAGAACCTACATACTGAATGTCAGCCTGCGAAAATATAGCGGTAAAGAGAAACAGTGATAGAAAGGTAACATTATTGTATGAACGCTCCTTTTTTTCCCTGCGGCTGGTATCCCAGTTGGATTATTTAAAAATCCTTTCTTATTCCACATTTACAACATGAACCGAATCTACATACAAAATTTCAGCTTCCGAAATTATAGCGGTACGAATAAACAGTGATGAAAAGGTAATTTTCATATGTAAACACATCCCTTTTATCCCCAGGAGGGCTCCCCAGTTGGAATATTTGAAAAGCCTTTCTTAGTACGCATCTAAAACCTAAAAATCACCTATAGGCCAAATTTTAGATTCCTAGACTTACCAGTACGAAGAAACAGAGATGAATGAGTGTGTTAAGTGAGTGACTTTCGCATTCATAAGTATAGAAAATAGATTTCGTCGTAATTGACAAAGAAATCTAATAAGTATATAAAAATGGATGTTTGTTGGTTGGTTGGTTGATTGGTTGGTTGGTTGGTGAGTGATAAACTTCTACATCGCTCAACCGATCGTGATGAAACTTGACATGTATAAGTAATTTTTCATAGAGAAGGTTTTTAGGCTATCAATTTTTCTGTAACTCGCCACTAGATGGCGCTGTAGAACAATTTTTTGAAAACACTGTTCTATAACGCTGCGCACGCCTAAGTTTGTTGATTCTGTCCAAACATTGGAACATCAGCGATACAGCAACATAGTACTAGTATTGAATAATCCATACTATTTTTGAATGTTTCCTTCCAGTAATTCAAAATATAGGTACTTACGATTTAAGTTAATCAAGGTAAGGTAATTAAGGAATTTATTTATATTATATTGGTATAAATGCTCCTGAATTATTATAACATTTACAGCCGTATTCATAGTTTACTTTGTCTGTGTTTCTGAGAGTTCAGCGATTATCGTTTGTTAAAACAAATGGATCAACGAATTTGTATCGAATTTTGCGTAAAAAATTATATAAGCCTGCTATGAGTAAAACAAGAGTTTACAAGCAATATGAGCGTTTCCAAGATAGCCTTGAAGACGTTGAGGATGACGAATGCTCCGGACGCCCCAGCACATCAACAACCGATGAAAACGTGAAAAAAGTGAAAGAAATGGTTACAAACGATCGTTGAATTACAATCGGACTAGTCGCTTCTGGCGGGCATGAAGCAACAAAAAAATGTTCGGTGAAAAAACAATTCGTGGCTTTTGCATCACACTTGATTGTTTGTTACTGAATTTTTGGCCAAAAACAATACTGCAACGATACCCCAGTCTCAATATTCGCCGAACATAGCTTGTTGAATTAGAAAAACATTACAGTTGAACGGGGCCAATGTCTTATACTCAAATAACTATCAATACTGGCAATGCTAAATATAGCAAGAAAAGTTTCTACTTGTACTTTCCTTGAAGATAATATGGAGTTCACCTAGAAATATATTCTTATGTAGGTCAAGATGTTAACTAAGATACTACTCTTCAAAAAAATGAATTCGATTTTGCCTAATCCAAAGTCGTACTTCTCAGTTTCTCAAGATTAAAATAATATTTTGTTGTTTTTGAGGTGTAGAACTACAACAACTAAAACGATTCTTGACAAAATATTTCTAGGAGACAATAATTTTTGGGAAAAAAGTTTTGGCTTTTTATCTATCCATATTTATACAAAAAATGTAGGAATCTTCCTAAGAAAGGAAGAAAACAATAAATTACTCTTTACAAAAAAGTGTAGATCATGAAAAAAAGAAACAAACTGGAAGAAAAAGCCCTCTCGAAACAATGACTTTCATGTAAACATTGAATTACACGAAATAAAAAATACTTTCAAAATAACTACTTTTTTCTACAGATGCTATACAATGTGCCACTTCTCTCATCGCTTTCATACGTTCAAAACGAAAGATTTCTCAAGCAGTGAGAAATATTCGACATTACAGTGAGAAATAATTTCTCACTGATATCACGATAACCCAAGTCAGTCATTAACTGTTACATGTCTGATTGATATAACACGTTCTCCATGTTGACAACGCGCTACGCCGACGATTCGTCGCGTGCAATATCCAAGTAGCCCATTGTCGGCGTTTCCATAACAACAAAACCGAAACACTGCAAAGGTATTGCTGTCAACTTACCCAACGAAAATAGTTTTAGTTTATTGAATATTGAATATAATGGAATACGAAGATTTAGAGTTGGAAAGTACACTTCCAGAAATTGTTCAGAAAGCAAAAGATGTTTGCAACAATTTGCCACTAAGCACATATGTTTACTGCAAACTATTAGTCATAACTTGATAATTTCTTAACTTAACAAACAGTTGCATTAAAATGAAATGAAAAATCATCATATTTGATTAATCATATGCCTTGATTGAATGAACATTACCTATTTCATTAGCTTACTCTCTTTTCGAGCAAAAAGGCCATGATTACTGTATGGTGGTCAGCTAAATAAGTTTATTTTCAGGTACTCATCAGGCCCTTGTTTCAAGTTCTTGAACAAAACTCTACAAGAATTTTCACGAACGCGAGTAAATGCTGAGTCAATAGGTATAGTATTATTAGTGCATTACTCGTAATCTATATACAGGGTGTTTCAAATTCGATCCTCACCATTGGGATCTCGGAAACTATGAGAGATATGAAGATGATTAAATTGGGGCAAAGTTGTGCATATTTACGTGACTAACAATATGCCCTTGACAAAGTTATGAAAATCCGAGTATATCCGGAGGTTTTTTTTTCTGGTTTTATTTTCCGAAGGATTCAAGAATAAATAGCACTTCCACATTGCCACTTTTCCCCTGCTACATAATGGTGTTTTCAGATTTGCTATCCGACGTTTCGTTTCGTATCGACGTTGAAGATATTGAAAAACATCAATTCTTATCATAATAGGCTTTGACTTGGATGTTTCTAAATTTGACTTTCAATTTGTTACACTCAATGACATTTTGTTATTGTACAAGTCATTGAATGTTTGGCGAAAAATGGCTTTCACGAATGAAGTAAAAAGAGATATGATACAAATGTATCACAAATACAATAGAAACAGTGTTGAGAAATCGAAAATGTATTTGAACTTGTATCGCGAAAGACGACAACTACATCGAACTATGTTCAAGTTATTGGATCAAAATCTCACCGATTTTGGTTCATTTGAAAAGTCAAGGAAAAAAATAGGGAGACAGAATGGACCAGAAAACTAAAGAAAATTTGATAAATGAGGTATGTATGAGGTAAGTTAGACATTGTGTCTTTTTCAATAAAAATTAATAATTTGCAGATAAACATGAACCCAGGGAAATCTACACGTCAAATTTCCAGCAAGGTCTCCAGACTTAAGTGTTATGGATACATTCTTATGGGTTACACTGAAAAATAGAGTTTATGGTCAGAGGGAATATCAAAATATTGAGGACTTTCAACACAGCATTGTGAGAGTGTTCGGAAGATTGAGCAGGAGAAAAATTAATCGTGCAGTGAATAATATTTGAAGAAGGGCACAGTTGTGTTATCATGAACAAGGCCAGCATTTTGAGCAATTGCTGTGATTTAATTTTGTCTTGGTGAGACTTTGATCCAATAACTTGAACATAGTTCGGTGTAGTTGTCGTCTTTCGGGATACAAGTTTAAATACATTTCCGATGTCCTAACACTGTTTCTATCGTATTTGTAATAAACTTGTATCATTTTCCTTTTTTTTTTCATTCGTACAATAACATTGTACGTTTCATTGTACAATAACAAAATGTAATTGAGTGTAACAAATCGAAAGTCAAATTTAGAAACATCAAAGTCAAAGCCTATTATGATAAATATTCGGGTTTTCAATGTATGGACGTTAATATGTCAGTAATCGAATAAACGTATTTTTCTTCATTCTTATATTAAACTCGTATTTTCTTTTTTAATAGGTAGATTCTTATTTCGTTTGATTATATTTCTGACTAATAGTTCAGTCATAAACTAACCTGAAATATCATACTTTTCTGTAAACTAAACATTGACCTACATTTTCATAACTATTCAAAAGACTTTCGTTCTAGCGATTTGTAGTAAACATGATATGGAATTTGGTGATTTTGATCACAAAAGTAATGCAAGATGTCGGGAAGAAAATAGTAGGTACTGATCAAATCGAAATGGAATTTTCCCTTTGTAGGCTTTTGAAACAAATTTTTAGTTTTGGTTAATGTCAAATTATTGCGTTTAATGAATCGACTTGTTGTACAGATTTTCGTACATTTATGATTCACAAATAAGCTTTATGTGAAATGTTATCCAAACAAGACAAAGTGGAAATCGTTCTTTTATGTGGTGAGAATATGCCATATCGAAATGTTACTTGTATTTTTAATCACCGGCATCCAGGAAGACATTTTCACTTTAGTACCGTGGGAAGGATATTGAAAGCATTCAAAGAAACTGGCTCTGCGAACAATCGTTTCAAGAAACCTCATAATCCAGTAAAGTATAATGAAGAAGGAAAACTCAATGTTTGTTTGAACGTTGTTGAAAATGGAAAAACTAATATTAGGAGTATTAGTGAAGATACACACTGTTGACAAAGCTAATGTGTTAGCGAAACATGTCGTGATATATTTTTCAAATAAAGTTTGTGGAGATCAAATCGTGAGATGTAGTTTATGAAATGAAGATATACAGGGTTTGGCAAAGAAACTGAGAAGAATTTTGCACAAAAATAAATTCCATCCCTATAAGCTAAAGTCCATACGCACTATTGAAGAAAGAGATTTCGATATTCGAGTAGGATTTTCATTTTGCTGAGAGAGAAAATGATATCGCATTTCTCTACGGGATTTTATGGACAGTTAGTTCCCAAAATTGTCGCTGGTGGTTCAACAATAATCCAAATTTTGTCATAGAATGCCGTGACCAATATTCAGTCAAGACAAATGTGAGGTGTGAGTTATCACATAACCAAATAATTATACTATATTTTTTCAGAGAACATTTAAACGCAGACATGTACAGAAATATCATCATGAATCAGATAATTGGATAGTCTGCCTCTAAGTGTTAGAACGAAGTTTGTGGTATTAGTTTGACGGGGTACTGATCCATCAACGATCATCTACGAGATGGAGCACTCAATTAATTCATAAAAATACGACTTTATGTCACAAATGAGTTAAATCTACTCATGTAATCGGTGACAGTCCGTAATGATATTCATTTGCTCATTTGATTTAATCTTAGCCAAAGAAATCTTGTTTGAATTGAAAGAATGACAGAGTTCCATTCAAGTGAAATTTTACCTCTTTCATATACTATATTGTGTAGCAATCCTGTGACTGATAGCAACTGCTATACGACAACAGTTCAGGACAGTGGTTGGACACCAATGAGCCACCCAGGTACACCCTGTATACACCAAATATGATGTTTCTTACTGGACTGAATATGTGAAGATGAATCGTTTGTAGGGTTTTAGAATCGAAAAACTGTATTCGTTTATTCGTGAAAAATACTTTATTATAAATAATTTAGTGTAGTATGTTGGGAGAATGATTATTTATAAATAGAAATGATATTGATGAAAAACTTACTGGTTATTAGGTTGGCCATAGTTCCACTGACAAGAAACAGTGCATCTTCTTTACCCAAGAGTTCTGCACTTCTTCTTTCCAGTTCAGTCACTGTTGGATCTTCTCCGTATACATCATCCCCAAGGTCTGCAATATACATAGCCTCCTTCATTTCTTGAGTAGGCCTGCTCAGTGTATCAGTTCTTAAATCGATTATTCTCACGTCTGCTCCGAGATCGGCTTTGATGATTTTTTCGTACATGTTGAGGTTTTTATATTGTCACTTTTTTTTTCTTACGGAGTCGGTGTATGAGGACTGAATAATTTGACTAACATAGTTACCTACTATTTATATATATAAAGAAAATGGGAAGAACAAGCTCTGAAATATGTACTTATTGTGTTTCCTTGAACGCGATACCGTTTCAATCCTATAAAAACCATATTCCGGGCGATTAAAGGTTAAAGGTTAAACGATATTTAAACGAATCTCATTTATAATACCAGTAAATCCCATTTTCCCGTAGTATTAAAGCAAAGGTTGAGTAAGAATTGCACTGGAAAACGACATAATTTTTTCCTCTCGGATTTCAAAAACAAGTGAGATACTTCTACATGGACTTTCAGACTCACAGGTGTATTGAGTAGCTTTTGGGATGAATATGTTAATAAGATGAATTCCATGCACCCACCTTTCTGCATAAAACCATCTGACCCTTGGGTTCCTTAATTAGAGAGGGAGAAAGTACGAGACTGCGGTATTAATCATAGTTTAACAGAATGGTGTCTTCAATAACCGCTTCTAGTTTAACCAGTGTTATGTATGGAAATTTCTGCTAACAGATTCTGGGCCTGCCCTGAACACCATGACACCATTATGCATTTACTGTCAGTACTCTCATCATATTGTTGTGAATTATCCTCTAAAAATAACGCCGGCCGACTCTGGACTGCAACTTAGTTAAAATCACGCTCAGTTCCACTTGCGTGTCTTTGGCGAAACTTCTAAAACTCCATGTCTTTGCGAGGGTTATTCCACCAGCTTCCAGAGTCATATAAACATTACCGCGATGTGGGAGAGTTAATCTAGTTCGGAAAGTTCAGTGCGAATTGACCTAATAAGGAAATATACATTCGAGTATTAGTCTGAACTTTAATTACGGTTTTGCGTTGTATGCAGTGTGGTAAATTGTTGTCGATTCTATGTGGAAAACGTAGCAATATTATGACCTGAAGAAAGTTTGGTTAAATATGAATATTATGATATTTCAACTATATAATGCTGCCGAAGCAAAATCACATAAACCGCTCTATAAAAAAATACGGACACATGCTGAAAATTGTCAAGTTTTTTCTTGATCTTCATAATAAAATAACAGAAATAAATAGGGTACGAACTTTGCTTGGTAACAAAAAAGTTTATTTTTTAGATTGTGGAAGGTTACGAACCTAAAAAATAGTAAGGAACAAAGAAGTACCGCTTTAATTACCGATATCAAAACTCAAAAGAAGTAAGAAAAACAAGTGATTATTCTGGCATCGTCAATAATTCATGCAAGTAAACAAATATAACGTTTAGCAATATAAATTTTATTGTTCAGTAGCATTGCGAAAAAATAGGTCCGCATAGTTTAAAAAAAATCTGTTTAAAATCTGTTTTTCCGTTAATCAGCTGTCGCCCCCATACGAACGACAACTCTCAGAAGTTGAGAAACTTGTGCGAGCTAAGGACAAACGAGGTCTTGCCTTCTAACGTGTGATTCCTAACACGGTTGTAGAATCATCCCAGCTTCAACCAGATGAATTCTCTCGAGAAAAATATCTGGTCGAGGCAGGAATCGAACCCACGGTCTTCCGATCGTGAGTCGGGCGCACTACCATCGCGGCCAATTTCACAACGTCATTTCATACTTTAGATCACAATTTCTGTTGAGTAGGTATAGGGTTATTGTTCTGGAATTGAATTGAAAATAGGCAGTAGGTTAAAATAATGCATATCCATAGTGAGAGTTGGGTTGGAATCATGACTATAAAAGAAAAGCGTCAGTATATAATCCTAACTTTGTTTTGTATATTGTTAATAACATTATGGCGGAATCTAGATATTATTGAAAATTCTAAATTGCTTTGAATTAGAACGACTTTGTGAAATGATGTGACATTTTTTAGTTATGGAAAGAAAAGCGTCTAGATCTTCTCTGTTTTTTTTAAGGTGAAGTTTGTATTCTCTTTTTCGAACTATATATTAGTTTTATGTGCCGTCGGCGTTGTAATGCAAATTTTAGATGTTAACTGAATTAGAAAGTATACAGAATGAACAGTAACATAACAGTATATTCAATATTGCGGTATACCTTAGATAGCATATGTGAAAACTGAACATTTATTATTGACTAGTGTTCTATAATTCATGATGTGATACTTTTGGCGGGTTCAGAGACACGGCGAAGGGGAGCTGTCATAAAAGGGACCTTGACACCTCGCTCTTTCTCTGGGCTCGACCGTCGGTGCAGCTAACTGATTGTTAAGAGTCTTGAAATAAATACTAATAGTTATTGTTGATACTAGCTATTAATCTCTAAACCCCATCGATAATAAAACAACTAGTTGTTTCCCGCGGTTTGGCCCTCGTAGAATTTGGTTTGTCTCATTAAGTTTCGCGACAGACTATTTCAAACAAATAGTTACATTTTTTCATTAACCCAAAACTTCAGGTTCCCAACTTCAAAACTGAGGAAATTCAATACAATCTTAAACCCCTATTTTCTTCCTTTGGGGTGGACATTCCTGATTAATTTTCTTGAGGCTTATTTACACTATACACAGAACCTATCTGCATATTTCAAGGTTTTAGGTTCAGTTGCTTCGGCTGTACGTTGATATAAGAATGTCAGTCAATCAATAGGTATAGTTCAAGTAAACGATATAGTGCCCCCTACCCTCCAGCAGTTTCCCTTTAATAAAATAGCTAGGGAGCTAACTAATTTTGTTATTCAATAATTATTTCTGATTATATAAGAATCACAATAACTATANGACACGTGTTTCTGGCTATTGGCCTCATCAGCGCGGTGCAGCCAAGTGTAAAGGTGGGCAACACTTGTTTGCCGAAAGCAGGAAACAACACATATGCACGGAGTCAACAACAGGAGCCAACCGCACATTTGTGGTTCCAGTTAGAAGACCTACAATTCCCAGGCTACATCTAACATGACCACGTAGGCAGCTATAGCTACCTGCGTGACATCTGGGTCCAGGATATGAATACAGCTATAGCTGTATTTATATCCTGTATTTTTCTACGTCCATGATGTCACCGGCCTTAACTAGTTTCTGTAAGGATTGAAAATTCTGTAACAATGTTGGTATTTTATTATATAGTTTGACAGAACGGGACGATAACGAATCGTGAGTTCTCTGTTGGTGTTAGACGTTTCGTTTTAGGTTAGATTGATATATTACCTATAAGTGGCATATGCTCAAATTTATAGTTCTGTGGGCATATGTCACATGACGTGACTGTCACAAATCAGAACTTAGAAGTGACAGATATATCGCTCAGACTAATCATATAATATTACTCTGAAATATATCGGAGTATTGCGAGTGTGACTGAGCTATCAAGTTTGACGTAGATAGTCACAAATAGTTGTCTTCACGATACTGTCACGTTTTGGTTTTTGTAAAGTTAGTACGTTCATTAAAGTTCCGTCTTCATGTCGTTAACTTATAGTTTCATTGCCCGAATTATCTGGTTTACACTTAGCATAAAGATTTTCTGAAAAGTATTTCCCAAGTGCAGAGCTTATACACAAGAACTTGAAATTTTCGCTAAAAAGTTGTTACCTTCGATTTTTTCACGTGATTTGGAGTTTCTTTTATAATCTTCAATTTCGAAATACTCGAGATGGTAAGATTTTGAATGAAATCTTTTCTCAGTACATTTATGTCGTTTGTTATTTCTATTTGATTCATATCGCATACATTTTTATCAATTATATCAAAATGAGGTACCACGAGAATTTTTACGCATTCAATTTTTTTGTAGTGAATATTTTCAAATTGCGATGAGCATATCTTTTTTTTTCAGTAATTTCATGTAATTTGTCATCAGATAAAATAAAAACCATACATTTAACATCAGTTGTATCACTTTACATTGCAGTTTTCTGAGATCAATGTATTTTGTTCCAAGGCTGGAGTATTTTGTGAAATTTCCATTGGCAACACTAGTGACGACTGACAACTGACATTACATTATACGTCAACGTTTCTTTCCTGTTGTAAGTTAGCAAAATTCCATATTGATATAAGGTGTGTTGGTCAAAATTTATTATATAGGTATAGAAACAGTCATGACTATGACGGATATTCAATCGGGGGGCGAATGCTCTCACTTTGTTGCGCCCATTATACAAGATAATCCTTCGGGATGGGGACCATGCGAGGTTCCTGATCAGTTCAAAGACATGCCCTACCAACCTTTCAGCAAAGGTGATCGTTTGGGAAAAATTAGTGACTGGACTGGAGCTGCGTTTCAGGATAAAAAATATGCTAGTACGTATTCATGACCTATACATCAGCATTTATTTATATTAATGGTCTCCGATAGTGTTGACATTAACTTTACTTAATTTACATGTATTTTCAAATTTAAAGAGTAATTATGTTTTAAAATAATTCATTTGAACTACATTGGAGCTACATTGGAATTTTTATCTAACACTAACACTAAAGATGGTTTTTAATATGCTCTGATTCATTAGAAAAAAAATTCAAGTTTGCTACTTGAATGAATTAGGCTTTTCAAAATATTTACCTTAGTGCTACAAAATGCTTTAACAAATATTTCAGAAAGCCAGTTTCATCTGTTCTCAACTGCCTCCCCTACAAAAATAACAATCACTTATATCAAGAGTAGGTATCACTGAAGTTGATAACTTTCCTAATGTATCATAAATTCATTATAATTCAATGATTTTTATTTGAGTTTCATCAAATACAAATACTATGTTTCATGTATTTTATCTTTATATGAACTGTTTTTTCATACAGAAAGCAATATTTATTTCTCAACTGATTCAACTAATGTTTATACAAAAATACAAATTTGGAACAACGATTTGTTGATCTGTTTCAAAACATAACAAGTTTTTGAAGTTTTTGTGGTCATTGCCAGTTGTTAATATTGTAAGTTGGTTAGTCATTTTCATTTTGCAGTAAGATATTCTTCATTAATCAAATGTTAGCTAAATTTTTAGGCACTGTTTTTAGTCTAAGCAGGCCTTGTCAATAAGGCCAATCTAGGCTATGCAGTTAGGCTCAGAATATCAGGGGGTTCGGATTACTGTGAGAAAAGTTTTTCAATAATCCAATGGGTTGAAACAGAATACAACTTTGTTAATTGATTGATGCCAAGTTGTTAGCTTGTAGCAATAATAGTTTATTATTTTTGCATACTTGCCAGATTCTGCTTGTTACTTCAACATGAAATCAGCATTTTCGTTTCACTTTTCATAATATCATTTCTTAAGTAATTTGCTTATTGTATTTTTTGTGAATGGCTTAATTCACTCCCACTTCTTTTTTATAGTAAATTAAAGTTTAAATATACATCGATCAAGTTTCTGAATTTTTCATTGGAGTTTTTGATTCATTCCAAAAATAGTGTGTTGAATTTTGTTACAAAGAATTTATTTCAGTTCTAATTACACATAATTGTAGGCAAGTATGCTTCACAGTTTGGTTCTGGTAGCCAATATGCTTACTATCATGAAGAGGATGAAAGTACTTTCCATTTGGTTGACACTACTAGGATTCAGAAACCACCATATCAACGTGGTCGCTTCCGTGCCAATCAACGGAACATGCGTGGCAGAGGAGGAAGAGGAAATGCTCAAGGTGGAGGTATGCAATCCTTAGGCAAGGGTATGAAAGCTAGGGATACTTACAAGAGGAGTCAGGTTAAAAGATGGGGACAGGGAAGGGTGAGTAGGCTGTTTCAATTTATTTGAATTATGTTTGACCTATAACTCATGAAACTATTCATATTTTGAAAATTAATAAGTAAAATAATGAATAAAACAATGAGAACCTTTACCTATTTATTTTAAAATTTATATTACCACTTTTGTTCTCTCAGACCATCAAATTGGTTGCTCACGTTAAGAATGTTCCTTTTTTACTAAATGACTCAACAATGTATTTGAAATTTAATCTGTTCCTTTAATCTCCGGCTTCACAGTTATTGATTTAATCAAACTGTTACTTCTGTTATCTGTGTCCATCCATGAATTCCATCAGATACATTGAAACCAGAGCCAATGAATATGATTTCTTTTCAACTGTCGACTGTTGTCAACTTGTAGTGGGGATTAATTCATACAGTTCAGACGTAAATAGTTCTTCTCTGTCTTAATTTTTGAACAGGGCAAGATATCAGAGTAGAAGGGCAAAGTTTATATGAAAAGGAATTATTTCTGTCACTATTTGATAAAAAAAAATTGCCTGGAGGGCGCTATCAATTTTTTTTCAAATGGAAAGGCTGGAATTGTGACATTTAGTATGAATGGTATTTCAGTTGTGTATAGAGTGTCCTTCACTTCTTGAATTTTTTTCAGATGTTTTGAAATAACTATTCATTGGAAAGAGAAATAAAGTCATTCTTATAAACACTTCTAGCAAAATACATTTTTTCAATTACTAGTTACATTTTTTACTATTGCCCAAGTTTATCATTTGATTTTTTTCAGCCTCAAATCAAAATAAGAGATGCTTCAGTTACAGTTCGACCAGATTGGAGTACCATTGAGGAAATGGACTTCCCTCGGCTTGGGAAGTTGTCTTTACCAGGCATCAAAGATGGTAAAATTATAGATCATTAATAATTTTGATATTGAAATATGAGAAGAAATGATAATCTGTTAAGTTACATATTGTACAAGTCATTGTTTTGTTTGAAAATCAATAGGGACGTTGACCGCATTCAAATACAATATGTAAATGATAAAAATAAAATCCCACAATACCAATTCTCAAAAGAAAATATTTATATTTGTTTTCATAAATTCAGTTTTTGCTTAAATATCAAAATGTAATGAAATCACTATCAACAAACACAAAACACTGACAACAAACACAAAAAGCAAGGCGTTACACACAAACATGATTTCTGTCAAATAGTACAGCAATACTTGTAATGGAATTAAAAAAAGATATCTATCATAGGAACTCTTCACAATGTAATACATTGATATATTTATATTTTTGATGTTTGGAACTCTAACTAAAGTGATTTCTGTGAAATTCCATGTTCGAAAGTAGTTATTTGGGACATATTCTTTCAGTTTGTATTTGAAAGAAACTTTTCTGCATGTTCTATTTATCTTTGTGAAGAGTATTTATTGTTTAATGATGAAGTAGAAAGCCAAAACGTTTTTTTTTCCAAAAACTGATCTGTCCTATAAACATTTTTTTTTATTCTGAGACATTTTAGGCACAAATATCCAATGGATCTCCGGAGTCAAGTTTAAGCTACTTTTTTCTATTATTTATCACCTTTTAGTTATTTTAATTGCAGTACTTGCATACTGAGGAATTTCACATTCATAAAACATTGATCTGTAATTAGAATGAATATGAAAAAACTATATCATGGATTTCACCAGTGCTTGGAACATGTGAAGTCACAACGATCAATTATTAATATTTCAAGCAAACTTTGAGATGGAAATTAAATAAATGATTTTAGTATTAGTTGTATTGAAAAATTCATCTTGAATATTTTGGGTTATATTTGTGATGTATGATAGTCTTCCAGGCAAAATTAGCAAATATCAAAAGTTTTACTACTTTTTTTCGTGAAATTTTCACTATGAAATGTTTACAACACGTGTTTCGCTGTACAAAAGCTAAACACAATATATGATCATTAGTTTTCTTAATCTCCTGAAGACGTCCACTTGATTGGTGAAATGCGCCTTGAGAAGAGTATTGCAGTTCTGGTGTTTGGGAGAAGTGCTTGTTTTGGAATAGCCTTCTCAAACAGGACTGAACAATACTTCAGCAAGACTGATCGGTATAGCGAAACAAGTTTTGTAACCCTTCCATAGTGAAAATCACAAACAGAATTATTTTTGATATGAATTTTCATCAAATATCGGTCCGTTGTATTCAATTTTTCAAAATGTTTATGTTCTGATTTATTTCAGGTGATGATATACTATGCTGTGGAGAGCTGGAATACTATGATAAAACTTATGACCGTGTCAATGTGAAAAATGAAAAAGCCTTACAAAGTGTCAATAGGATTTTCCATACAGTAAGTTATTGGTTTTTCATGGTACTCTGATTTATGGACATACTGTATCTTTAAAAATATTGTCTTTTAACAGGTAACTACCACCGATGATCCTATGATCCGAAAACTATCAAAAACCGAAGGAAATGTTTATGCTACTGATGCTATTTTGGCAACTATTATGTGTTGCACACGCTCCAATTATTCTTGGGATATTGTCATTGAAAAAATTGGTAAGATTGGACTATATTGTAATGGTTAGAAAGTTGATAATGCATTTTTTGCAGGTGACAAACTTTTCTTTGATAAAAGAGATAATACTGAGTTTGATTTGTTAACTGTTAATGAAACATCTGTTGAACCTCCTCAGGATGACGGAAATTCTTTGAATTCACCTCGTAATCTTGCATTGGAGGCTACATTCATTAATCACAATTTCAGTCAACAGGTGAGTATCCTACATTTATTTGAAAATATTATTCCAGTACAGTTTTTATTTTTAAATTTTTTTGGAACACAATATTTTGTGAATGTCGATAAATCTTATATTTTTATTATTTTATTCTCAGGTATTGAAAGCTGGAAATAATGAGCCACGCTATAAATTTGATAATCCTAACCCATTCATATCTGAAGAAGAGGAAGGAGAAATTGCAAGTGTTGCTTACCGATATAGGAAATGGGATTTAGGTGGAGGAGTTGTAAGTATGCCTTTATTTCTTCACAGATGTAAAAAATACTAATATAGTATTATGTAATACATTGTTTATCCATTAGAAGTTTGACATGTCTTTCGTCATATTATTTGTGTAGAATACAAATAATAAAAAACTGATTATGCTACCAATAGTGAACCTTTACAGTAATATTTCATTCCGTATTGTTCTATGACATATTCTTGTTTGCAGAGCGAAAGATAAGACTTTATCCAGTCGCGGGCAAGGCCTCTAGTGCCATATCTATCGAACTTTTCCAAGAGTATCGCATAATTAATACTATCAAAAGTTTTGAACAAATCTAGAAATATACCTGGTGATATAGAATTATTCATATAACCGGGCATTATTTTCACAATAAATTCATAAATTGTCATTTCAATTGATTTTTCCCTGAGATATATAGATAGATAGATAATATATTTGTCTCTTTAGGTTGTTCTTACAACATGAGATATGTCAAAAAAAAATAAAAAACAAACAACAAGTACAAACACATTAACAATAGTCAATTTCACATAAAAGTTAAAACATATTGGATGGATACATATTAAAAACAGTACATATAATGCATACTACATAGATGAAAATGAATCAGCCACACTTTTGAATAAAATCGTCTAAAGTATAAAATGCTCCTTGGATTAAGAACTTTTTCAGTGTANACTTGAAAAATAAAAAAAATGCTGATATACCTAACACATAAATACCATATCATTTGAAACATCAAAATTATTGCAATAACTGACATATATAAAATTTAATTATCGTGTAGAATCTCTAATCACTAGGCATTTTTACAGTATAGTTTAGATTAAATGTAGGAAAAGCTATGAGTAATTAGTGCTGAGTTGTGTTCGGCAATGACCGAAACCTTTTGGGTTTAATAGTTATTATTCTGGAAAAAACTATTGAGTTTGTTATATAAATACTCCGTTTTTTTTTTGTTAACAGTAATCATTTAACCTACCAATGATGTGATAAAATTTACTTATTCCAGCTGTAGGAAAATCATTCATCATTCTTTGGTGGTGAAGTATGTCGTATTGACTAAAAGTCCATATATGCAATCAAATATGATAATTTAGTTCTGCAAAGTTTGAGTTTGAAGTGTGTAGAACGAACGTTTTTATTGGGGAAAACTTGTCTGATGATATTATAAGGTGATTTACAAATATGGCTCATGTTTTTAGAAAGTCTAAAATCAGAGTCAAACCACAACCCTAGTTTTTTCTTTCAGAAACTAAAAACAGTACATTTGTGGCAATCAAGTCTTTTGATAGTCCTCTAACTCCTATTTGACACAATTTTTCCAGGAGTAATTGATAGTTTATTCAAAAAATACTTTCTTGTGAGATTTTCACTAAACAGTTTCACAGAAACGCAGCACATGATTCGCCATACAATGCCTTCTTTAGGCATGTCTTTAGTAAAGACACATCTGAAGAAGCCATTGTTATAAATGAAAGTGAAGTCATACTTTAATATTACTTACTCATAAAACCAATTTGTTTAATTTTTTAAATTTTATTTCAGATGTATCGTAGATATTATAATGAAACAGAAGGATGGAAAATACTTGATAATGAAGGATCCCAACAAGCCAATGATTCGATTGTATGATATTCCTGATAACACGTTCGAGTCTGATGGAGAGACAGAATCTGATGATGAAGGTCCCGAGAATTCGACTACCTTTCCATTGTATTCGTACAATTCCAGTGCCAAACGTTGAGGTTTTGATTGAAAGTAAATGTAATGTGCAGTCGAACCAGCGGGAAAGGTGTGGATGGGTCCCGAAATCCGCAGAGAAATCCGGAACGTTCGTTGACGATATAAAAAGGTCGCTCTCCGTCCCGAGGGGTAGTCTGTACTTAGAAAGCGAATCGTGCGTTTAAGGAAAGGAATCTAATTGTGAAGATAAATTAAGCGTTAGTTACTAAGTGTTGCATATAAATTAGTTGTGATAGTGAAATATTGTTAAAAATAAATTTGATTAAGACAGTTAATTCTTTAATTCGTTACATTATGTTTGAATACTTTGAAAATAGGAACATGTGAATCAATAATATTATATAATACATCATAGAAATTACTAACAGCTAAATTCACATCATCACAATTCCGAAGGAAAGACAAGTTCGTGGAAAGTAGCGCATTATTATATAATGCAGGATAATTGGCTCGTTTGAAATTATATTTTTTTTGGTTTGGGTTATCATTTGAGTTGCAACTAGTTTCGCTAATCAAAAATGATTAAAATCAATAATTTTTGCTGGATGATGAGGCATATCTTCAGGAACCATTGGAGCTCTGTCTCTTGTCACCTCACATTTCATATTGGAAATGATCAGGTACAAGCGCATATNAGGAACCATTGGAGCTCTGTCTCTTGTCACCTCACATTTCATATTGGAAATGATCAGGTCCAAGAGCCTATTCGAGTCATTCAAGATATTATTCCATTGGTTCATATTCAAAAAGTTGATCATATTATAGAGAGCGTGGGACTTGTTATCAAGAACGGAGACACATACAAAGTTAGGAGCATTGAAGTTCAAAATAGTTCGTAAGTCTTAGTGCTTACAGAGTGTGGAATATAAATAACACACACATAAAATGTAGTGTGCTTTAAAAAGCATCTACATATAAGCAAATCAATAATGGGAAAATTATTATCAAATAAATCAACATTTACTATTTCACTCTGAATACTGTTTTTTATAGCTAGTAAAACACCGCCGCCACTTTCTCGAGATACAACATATAATTTACGGTCTTTTCTGAATACTGTGTAACTTTCAGAAAAATATTCATTATTGGAGACGTCATACAATAAATTAGTTTTACATAAAGCAACAAGATCGAATTCCTCCTGACTCACAGCAGAATACAAAGCTTCATATTTTGAACGAATTCCGCGAGCATTTTGAAAATAGCAGGTGACTTCGTGGATACTGTTGGGCAGTTCTAATTTTTTGCTACAATTAACACAACTGTCCCTCAATAGACCTTAGTATAATAGGCCAGTCGATGAAGCTTGCAAACTATCTAAAACTTTGAATTAACATGTATTTTTAGACAAAAATGAACTATTGAACTTGAATTCGATTTGATGAGCCTGAAGGTAGGTACGTGGGTCACTGACAGCCACAGTAGATCCAAGTAATTAGACAAACTCAAATAAGCCATTCGGCAAGACGACTATCCCATATCCAAATATCCATACAACTTCAGCAAATTCAGCCCACATTTCAAACAGCCAGATGAACAAACGGACCACCCAAAAGCTTTTTACGATATAAGAACAGTATTCGCAACCAACAATAAAATTTGAACCTTCCTAGGAACACCTAAATACACGTTACCCAAACCCAATGTGGCACAGGGTATATATGAAATACCATGTTATTCTACCTACTCCAGAACTTACATGGGCTAGACCGACAGAAAAGTCTCTAACAGAGCCTATAATAAACATGAGCTTCCCCTCCATAAATCAGATCCAGCCTCATTCCTCTTCAAACTTCATCGTGGAACATGCCATACCCATACAATAGGCTTTGAAAATACCAAAATCATTGCCATCGAAAAAACTCTCCAAGTCAGGATAACATGCGAAGCTACTGAAATTGAAAAACGTTCCAACTTCGTCAACAAACAAGATGATTCACAAATATTACCTAATTCATGGAGATCATTACTGTCACGCTCACAACATTACACACTTCCATTCTGCACAAGGCCGTAGCCAGAAAACAATTTCGGGGGGGGTTTGGTTTGGTGGAAGAGTAGAAAAACATGAAATATAAAAATAACGAAAGAAAAAAAATGGTGTTACATGAAAATATATATTTAGTATAAAACTATTATAGAAATATTACCATCTTTTTGCAAAATCTTATTTAGTTTTCTAGCTTTTTTTGCAGCAAACAAATCAATAAATCAATTACCTCCTCGGTGTCGATGTCAATTCTACGGTAGATTGACATTAACGCCAAACCGTTTAGTCGTTGCTGGCTTGTGGAGTTTCTCAAATAAGTTTTGAGGCGTTTCAGAGAAGAAAAAGCCCTTTCAGGGGTACATGTGGAAACAGGAAGTGTCGTCAAGATCTTTAAAAGTTTCTACGCACATTGCCGTAAAGTTTTTTCATTGTGTTTCGGGGAAGTTTTTTCAATATTCTCTTTCAAACACTTTGTTGGTTTTGACAATTACTTGATAACATTTCTATCGGATTTTATAATTTCAATAGTATATCTGTATCTGTAGAGTAGGGAGGGTGAGTGTAGACCCACAGCACTCAGGCCATATGTGACCCATTGTACATCCCCCCGAGGAGTTGTCCTCCTAGGTCATCGTCCATACTGTCTTTTCCAGGAAGGTGGACGGGTCACGAGGAGACATCTCCTTTACATCGGCAGGTGTAGGCCAAGACTCGGCGAATACACGTCTCTTATTGACGATAACTCCGGGCACTCGCATAGGATATGCCTGACAGTTTCATCTTCCTGTTCACACATCCTACGTAGAGATGTGCCCACAAGCCCCATATTATGGAGGTGTTTCCTTAGTTGACAGTGGCCAGTCAGAAATCCTACTGTGAAGCGTAGACTTTTTCTAGTCATCACTAGATATTTCTTCGGCGCCAGCTTCCCAGGGTCGTCCAGGGTTATCCTGACAAGGTTGCGTCCTTTGATTCTATCCCATCTCTTTAGAGATTTAACATGGGTGTAACGTTTGGCTAGCTGCACAATTGTCGAAGTGATCAGGCCGTATGTGCCACTGGGTCCTAAAATTCTTAGTCCAGCCGCTTCCTTGGCTAAAGAGTCAGCAATGCGATTACCTTTACTCCTGTCATGCCCTTTTATCCACCGCAGAATAATGTTATTATCTACCGAGGTTTTGGCTAGATCTTGGTGGTACTGTATTACTAGAGCCCTGAGGTAACACGTTGTCTGTACAAGGCTAATAGGGCTTGTCTGCTA